GTGTGTGTGCGCGCATGGAAGTGAGGCTGCGTGGGGTTTGAGTTTGATTTTGGAATCAGTGTGACAGATTGCCTGGCTGGCTCTTCACTTTTGAATGGTCTCTCACTGTTTGTAGGGTGTGTTGTTGTACCTTTTCTTCCTCTTTTATTCCTTTGTCTGTCCAATCCCTCCCCTCTCATGGCCTCCTTTGTGTGCACCTGGATCTTGGCCGACTGTAAGGCAGTAGTCTGAGCCTAAGGATGCTGTAGGCTCAGACAAATAAATCGATGGCTTCTCTTGTATAATGTATTTGTGGCAGTAACACTGACTTTTTACTCCTTTCTTCCCCCATTTTCTGCCCATTCAGCCGCTGCTGTGAGAAAAAAAGCTGTGGAAACAGAAACGAGACACCCTCCGACCCAGTCATCATTGACAGGTAATGAAATCAGAATACAGCCTACCACCTCAAACACCGTCCTTAGAAGTAAGAGCTTAGACAAGAGAATTTTTGAATGAGCCGAGGTGTCCTCTGGCTAAGATTCTGGCAAAACAATTAATGATATTTGTATATTAAGTTTTGTAGTAAGAAACTATAGACATTTCAATTTCAACTAAAAGACAACTCCATGCCACGGACACATATGAAACTCTGCCTGAAACACTTGATAAAATTTAAGGAACATAGGTTTATCCTTTAATACATGGGTTCTCAACCCCTGGGTCAGGGATTAAAACTGGGCCCTAGATCATCATCATGCTATCTTCACAAATTTATTGTCGTCCACTCCCACAGTTAGACACTAAAATGTGTTTTTTCTTTGTATAGAATTCTGAATATTGGACACAATTTCCTTAGTTCCAAGCATGTTCATACACACAAACAAAAAACAAATCAAGAAGCAATACTTGAGTTCTGGATAAATGTCCTAATTTTCCTGGATTCATAATCACACGCACAGATCATGCTTTAAGTAGAGGTGCTTGTGCTGAGATATGGTTACTGGCTGCTGCGCAGCAGGTGAAAATAGCATCAGCGAAAGAAGACATTAAAACACTGTGCATCAGATTATCTGTGTCCATACCTGTCTCCCATGTGTTGCCCCCTCTTTTAGTTGTATGTTTATCCGTAGATCTATTTCTGGTCACGGTGGAATCAGTCCAGGGATTGGCATCTTATACGTTTAACAGCTGATAATGCACCTGCAACCTGTCAGGACTCATATATTTTCTTCTATGAGGAGCATGTGGCTCCTTCACACCATCAGGCAGCTCCACATATGTGGGGTGTGCTCACCCTGAAAGACTGTGCCGTGCTTTAAAGGGAGATGACCACCGCTGTAATCAGCGTGTGTAAGGGCCTTCACGTAGCAGGGATCTGAGAAGTCTCGCACTGTCTGCATGGTATTAACTAGTGTGATGAATGTTCAGGTACATGTGGAAGAGTTTTTTAGTGATAACATAAAAGCAAACCTCCATCGTTTTGAATCCCTCCCCTGCCTCCCACCTCTTTCTCTCCTCCTCACTACAATTGTCTGTCTAGAAAACATTTACTTCATATACGTCAAGGACCCTTTTCTTTCCCCTCCTCAGTTCAAGCTAGCTGGTTGTTGACAGTGTGTCTCAAAGGATCTCAGCTGAAGAGAGTTTTTATTTAATGGAAAAATCGTGGCTGTTGTCTTTTGAATTTTCCCAGAATACCTTGGAGCAGCTGTTTTTCTCATTTCTGTAGAAGATTTCACTCACAAAAAACCCCTGTGCTGCATTTTATCCTTGCCCTTAACATGACTTTATCTTGTTGTGACTGAGGAATCACTGACCTACTGTACTCTGTAATCACACAGGACGTATCCTGTCCTGATAGTGGCTTCTATCGCTCTCTGCATGGGACTGTTAAAAATCCTCTCCTCAGGGAGCAGCCTATTAGGAGTCACTTATTTTCTGATAATCTGTTGGAATTTGCTCCAGTAAATGTCCTTCATTCCCTGCTGCAGTGCACTGTTAGTGTTTGTGTCAGTGGGTGTGTGTGTGTGTAAGTAACCTTCACACAGAAATGAAGTAAGAGTAGAAATTCTGTTGCTGCTTGTGTGCAAAGACGGTGTATATTTTCACGCGTGTTAGCATCCTAATACGTTTTATATATGTATGTTTATGGATGTATGTGCAATTCTCTGTGTGTCTCTGTGACCCTTAAGTTGACCTTTTCCCTTGTCCCTGTTTGAGCCTTAAATTATTCATGTGCATGGGTGTGTGTGCAGGCTACACATCCAATTGTATGTGTGTGTGTGTGTTTCAGTGTGTCCAATAATCAGCCTCCTGCTCCCAGCCCCAACACCTGTTCTCCAATTAACATGTAGCGAGCTGGGGCCCACTCACTCCAGTTGCCCTGCCGCTGCTTTCTACTCTCTTTTTCTTTCTTTTTCGCTCTACATAGTCCAGCTTTTTCTCTTTGCCCCCGCCTCATAAATTGAGGGGGGATTTTTTCACTGCTCTCTCACTTTTTCCTTTTGCCCCTACTGTGCCCTTCTTCACTCCCTATTACTTAATTCCCTTGCTCCACTTCTTCTTTTTCCTCCATATTGCCATCTCCCCCACCACCCTCTCTTCCCTTTAGCCTGTCTAATTTTGCTATAATTAGGGGGTGTCATTAGGACACCTACCCAAGCACAAGGGAGTTTGCAATTCCCCAAACGGCCCAAACCCCCTCTTTTCTAATCTCCTTTCCATATTGTTTCAGTTTTCTCTCCCTCCTGCTGCTGCTTCTGCCACTGCGCCCCCTCCCCACGGTCTCCCTTCTCCATACCTAATCCTGATTTGAGTGAAAGGAGAAAGAGCAGATCACAGCTGATCCATAGGGAGAGGATGCAGGGTGGAGGGACCAGAGGGATAAAGAGGGCAAGGGCAGTCGTTGACAAAGATATCCAAGTT